TCCCATATATATATATATATATATATATATAAAATTCAAATACTATTTTTGGGTTAAGCAATTACCTGGATAGTAATTACACACCCTAATAATTATATAATATAATAATTATAATGACATATTTATTTGCCAGAACATAATTACAGTGTAATTCTCATTGTCATGTTTGATTGAACAAGTGAAATTACATAGTTAAGCAAATATTTTTTAGATTAACCTATCAAAATATATTAAATAGTATATGAAATAATTATCAATTGATAAATAATATCTTAAAAGTAGTAAGTATTTTCCAAATAAATAATATTATTTTTTAATTAATTTCAATAGCAATATAATTTTTTTCACTAAGTCATTAATGTGTAACAAATACCTGTATATATAAGAAATGCTAGATATTATTTATAATCAGGGATTTAAAATATATTTTAAAAAACAAAAATATTAAATAATTATAAATTGGTAACTAAAATCGAAAAAATATTATCGGCATCTTGACTATTTTCAATATATAATATCTTAACTTAAAAAAATTAATAAAAAAAATTATATTTTTTACCAACTCATATGAGTAAAATATGAAATCTATGATTTGTTGCACTTTCTAAATTAAAAAAAAAAAGATAAATATGAGTTTAAAAGGTATTTTTTTCTTAATAATTATTTGTACTAATAAATAGAAATTAAAGCTAGTAAAATCGAAATTGTGTTTAACAACTAAGAAAAAAATAGCTAAATATGAAAAGTTGCAAAATTGTTGGGAAGCACACAATAAGCAAACGTGCTGGAAGGTTTAAAAAAATGAATAAGAGAAATAAAAAAGAATATTGTAAAAAGAATAGTACTTAATATATTTGGAAAAAAAATTAGAAAAGTTACATTACCTTGTAATTACACAGTGTAATTACCATGAATTCTCACCTTCCCTTTGAGCCCGTTTGGAGAGCCATCTTGGAAATGGATTTGGGTGTAATTGGGTGTAACTGGGTGTAATTATACAGTTTGGCATGTTTGTTTGGCCAAGTAATTACTTGGTCGACATGGAATTGGAGGTAATTGGAGGGGTGTAATTACACTCTCGAATTCTCAAGGGGGAGGTGAGAATTGGTGGTAATTACATTGTTTAATTACAAGGTTGCTTTTTAATTTCTTTCCTTTTTGCTTTTTAATTACAGTGTAAACTTGTAATTACACTGTAATTATACTATGGCAAACAAACAGGTCGTCGCGATTACACAACTGTGTAATTACTACCCTAGTAATTACACCAATTCCAATTAGAGGGTGACTTTCCAAACATACTCTTTGAGAATTGGAGAGTGTAATTACACCCAATTTCATGTTGCCCAAGTAATTATTTTGCCAGACAAACATGTCAAACTGTATAATTGCACTAAATTACATCCAAATCCAATTCTGAGGTGGCTTTCCAAACATACTCTAAATGATAAATTGAAATAAGAGAGCATATTAACTAACTACTTTATTCAAGTAAAACAACGTACTTAAAACCAGAGACAGATCCATGATTTAAATATTATGCGTTCAACTTTTAAGGTTTTTAGCATTGAACCCGTAATAGTTTTAAAATTATGGGTTCATATCTACTATTTTTACAATTTTATTAAATTTTTGTATATAAAATTTTACTCTACATCGAAAGTTATGGGTTTAATTAAACAAGTCGGTTGAACACTACATTAGCCCTGCTTAGAACACATGACACACGTTTATTAATAATGTACCGAATTCACTAAAATACTTTATCCAAGGTAGAATTCTACACCAACTATTACTCCCTTCGTTTCATTTTATGGCATTATTTGGATGCGCACGGAATTTAATAAAAAAGAGCTTTCGAACTTGTTATCTTAATTATGTTATGATATTTTATGACTATAAAAACATGTCATTAAAGGTAAACTTGAAAGTATAACAACAAATAATAAGGAAAATAGATGCCTGAGTGTTTGAACTTTCGAACCCAAACTTCATGGCTAAATCCAAATTTCCTTTCTTTTATAATTTCAAAATGGAATATAGTAAAAAGGCAAGAAATAGTAGTGGAGACAATATGTTATGTATATGATTCTCTGGGAATGGCTAACTACTTCGTATAATATTCCTCCAAAAATATGCATTTGTTATCTGCTTCCTTTTCACCTTTGAGGGGCAGGCTTCGAAAATGAAAAGTCATCTTCATTCCTAGTAGATTCTTCCTTTTGAGGAACATGCACTTGAAGTTCAGTATCATCATCAGTAACATGTGCATTTGAGTCCTCGGGACGGTTTATCGGTGTAGTTGGATCGTTCTCGAGGTCAGAGGCTTCTACATCGTCATAGCCGTTGAAACGTGTTGAGTGACCGGTAGTTTTAAACCGATGAAGTGTAGGACCAATCGATGAGTGTAGAGGCGAGCCAACTGAGGACCTTGGACTTCCACTGCCCAGTGTTCGCGTGGATTTGTCTCCCTTAGCTCCCGCTTTCTTCTTCACGGCCATATGCCACTTCTTTAACGCCTTTGAGGTTTGTTCATCAAAAATGGATTTCTTCATATTGGAGCCCATCTGCGAATTCCAATCATGACAAATAAAAATTAAGCCTATTTTCCCATGTAAAGTACAAGAAGTCTTGGCTAACACTATAAAGTCCACGTATAATACTGTTTCATATACTCACGTCCCTTTTAAGTTGCCATGTTTCCCTTTTCGAGAGTCAATTTGACCAATCTTCGAAGATATAGATTAGATCAACTCAATATTTTAAAATTAAAATTTAGCTACTCAAAAACTATACGAAAAGTATTACAAATTGCAATTCTTCTAAAATTAATATGTTGAAGAAACCATTGGTCAAAGGTCGACATAGTTTGAATCTCGAGAAGCGAAAAACGACAAGGTAATATTGAATTGAGATGGGCCTAAAGCCCTAAACAGAGCTAAATGAGCAGTAAAGATATATACAGCCGATTCCAACTTGATTGAGAATGTGATGTAGAAACTGTTATTGTTGTACTAAGAAGTTCATGTAGTTTACTATGGCACATTTCCATCCTGCTAAATGACTACAATATATTTGCTTGTACCCTAGCTAACTGCTTGGTCAAAGCAAAATGGTGCGAAAAGAACCTAAATACATTTANGGAACTTCCAGTTAGTATTTGATAAAATACCTGAGTTATAAGGGCATAGAGTGGAAGAGTGATATAACTGCATAAGAATAAAACTCCCACCCTGTAATGGGACAACAAAGTAGATTCATAAGCTTCAGTTTGAAGCTCTGAGAACATATATATAGGCATCCTGATAAAGTGACTTTCTATTGCAAGTAACATACCCCAAAGCAATTTTCGCGATGACGAAGCCAAATTTGTCATGGAAGCAAGATTTTAGCCCATACTCGTACTGCAAAATAAATAATCAACATTTCAACCAATAGTTTCATGGGTTTTAAAACTAAATATCTTGGGAAGTTTGATACAAGGGGAAGAAATATTACCCATATCCACAAGAAATATGTTATTTGGAACGCATTCTGTCAAATTGAAATGATAGATTAGCATCAGATACACATAACAATGGAACTTTTGTCAGTGTCAGGAAATAGATGGAGATAGAGAATTGCATGAGATACATAAGGCAAACTATTAAAATCCAGACACCAGCCCTATTTTCCCTTCTTTTTTAAATTTCAAGCCCAAATCCTCGACATGAATGTATGCACAATTCAACGTTTACTTCGCAGCGTTAGCCACACATTTATCTCTCACAAGTCATTCACAGAAACAGACTATAACAACAACAACAACAACAACAACAACAACAACAACAAAACCAGTATATTTCCACCGGTGGGGTCTGGGGAGAGTAGTGTGTACGTAGACCTTAACTCATAGAAACAGACTAGAGACAATTATTATCTGTTTGGTACAAGTTTCAAGTCTTTTTTTTTTCTTAAACCCCGCTCCAAGTCAAACTACGTCACTTAGATTGAAATGGAAGAAGTACATTCCAGTCCTCTAATACGCCAGTATTTTAGCTTATCACATATATCTGATTGGGACATGTAATACCTGAAATAAGGCAAAATGGATGAGGTGAAGAACCAATTGAGGTCGTCCGAACCAAAAATATTTGTCTGAGCCTTGTACAAGAGGGATGCCTTGGACTACTGCATGTCTCTCTGAGATGTCAAGAGCCATCCTTGTTAACACCGCCTGAAGCTTTGTTCCAACAGCTAAAATGATCTGCGAAAATAATAAGTATCAGAATTCCCTGCAATGGAATCACAAAAGGTGGACAAGGAAAAAAAAAACTTACAATCATAGGAATTAAGGATGCCCAGAACAACGCATGCCACCCTGAAATGTATCAAATGTTTCAGAAATATATAAAAATGTCGAATAACAGACTTAATTAGTGAAAGTGAAAAAAAGAAGAATTGTCCAAATATATTTCCATCACAGCATATGACTTACCACTAACATTTAGGAGCAAGAAAACCACAAACGATCCCCATAAAACTGGACTGCCAATAGCAAATATAAGTCAGTCGATATGATACAGTACATGTTCGTTAGGAAAAACTGGGATAAAGAAATAGCACATCTCTCTACCTGACACCAACAACTACCTTGTAGTCATCCTCCAATGACCTCTTGATATACTTTTGGAAGTTAAATTTACTTCCAGGGGCCAAGTGAACCTATACAAGAAGCATAATCCATAATTTCTAGAGGAAAACAGAGAAGAAAGACATAAAAAAAATTTAAAGAACTAAACTCACACTGATAAAACCGTTGCGGAGGGTCAAGTAATCAGACTTATTCACGGACCTGAAAAATTGTCTGAAGAAACATCCCTGGAAAGATAAGATTGCAACATTTAATAAGCATTACTCTTCTTCCCGGATGTGCTGAAGAATAAAGCAATTCTTAAATAGAATAAAAATAACAATATCTTCTCATATAAGTGTCTTACTCACAATGTAAAAGAAGATTGGGATCCTGGTCCAGAAACTAGTATGTGCTCTGACAAATGATGTCTCATGAGTAAGCCGAAATCTTGAAGGATCTATAAGTTCCATGTAAGAAATGATCAATTGCCAATCCAAATAAATGAGGATAACGAACACAGTTTACTAGCAAATCAGAGATTTCCGCTATTTGTACAGCAGACTATGACATACCATTTGAAAACTCATAGTTATGGGTTGAGGTCTCTTGTTCCCATCCTTTCCAGCCACGAATCTGAAGAACATATTTTCAAGCATTAGACAGTCTAGAATCTAAAATGGATAGTAAAAAATATCAATAATGAACAAAACCATGAACAGCACCCCTTTGACTGACTGTCCAATTCTTTGGTTGATATCTAATGTATCAACCAAAACAAAAAGTGCTTTAAAAAAAGTATAAAAAGTTGGATGAAACACACATGAAATTTATCTTCAATTGCTTTTTTACCACATTTATCTTCAATGAAACAAGAAAAAATTGACTTCGTCATCTTATCCCGTAGACCCCAGAAATCATCGAGCATACATGTAAACCAGACTCCTGGAATGATTTCATACACTTTCTGAATATTAATTAATTCATTACTATGAGGAAAAGAGAAAATGCTGGATGCTTAAGTACTTCAGCGATGCGACAGCCAAGGAAATCTAGAGGCATATTCTAGTAAGGAGGAGAGCATAGTAATGATCAACATTAGATATGTCATAAACATTTGGTATTGCAGTTTTTAATTTATTACCAGTAGAGTATTGAATGTTTGTCCAAAATTTGATATATCATCTGAATTCTGAAGGGCTCAAGGTATGGACCAGAGAAACCACCAAATAATATAGAGCCGATAACTGGTCTCCACCAGAGTTTCTCTTGATATTCCAAAAGGTCGACACAAAATGGCACAGCAGTTCAAGTATAATGCAGGAATTAATGAAAATTATACTTTGAATTACCTTAAGTTTTCCAAGCCACATAGTAATAGCACTGTATATCACATGAAGGACCGCCAAAAAGAATATTAGGATGTGTATTTGATGCAGCGCATCGACAGAAATGAGAGAAACACGTCCCTGTAAAAGGTTACTCAAATTAGTTTGATAATAAAGACAGCCTAGCATGCTGTAATTTAGTAAATTTAGAGGAAGTGCCACATAAATATCCAAAAATAGATAAACCAAAAAGGTAATTATTTAGTAGTAGAGCTAACTTTACAGGAAGCAACAGTTAGATGAAATGTATCGGTTATTGATAGAATGGCACTTTTGTTAAGAAATTTCACACTAAGATAACATTGGCGGTATCGATAGAACGGCAAATCCTAAAATTACTATTTCAGGAAACTACTTAAACGTTAAGGCATCAGATGTTTTCTCGTTAATTAATAGCTACCAGGATATTTAAAGGACAAACAAGTGCTCATTTTGGTGGAGATTATAGCTGAAGCTACAAAGCCTTCCACATTCCTCTAGTAACTGCTGTTTCACTTGTCACTAAATAAACCTAGCATTCTACAACAACAACTACCCAGTAAAATCCCACCAAGTAGGGTCTGGGGAGGGTAATGTGTACGCAGACCTTACCCCTACCCCGATAGGGCAGAGAGGTTGTTTCCGATAAACCCTCGGCTCAGAAAGACGGAAATAAAAAACAAGAAAAAACAATTCATATAGAAACCGTAATAGTGACAGAAGCATAACAACCCAAAGATGAATGACATGCAATAACTTAACTAGTATCTAAGGCCCGGGGCTAAGATAAACATCAAGGATAGTGTGGATTCAACATAAACTGCAAGCCATCTAAGATTAACCCTAATCCAAACCCGCCTCACCCCCGGTATGAAGTAAGGAAAGTTCTACTACCCCCTAACTTACAACCCTAATGCTTGACCTCCAGACCTTCCTATCAAGGGCCACGTCCTCGGAAATCTGCAGTCGTACCATGTCCTGCCTGATCACCTCTCCTCAATACTTCTTAGGCCTCCCTCTACCTCTTCTCGTACCCACCACGGCCAACCGCTCACACCTCCTCACAGGCGCATCAAGGCTTCTCCTCTGCACGTGCCCGAACCATCTAAGTCTCGCTTCCCGCATCTTGTCATCCACAGGAGCCACGCCCACCTTCTTCCGAATATCTTCATTCCTAATCTTGTCTATCCTAGTGTGCCCGCACATCCACCTCAGCATCCTCATCTCTGTTACCTTCATCCTCTAGATATGGGAGTTCTTAACCGGCCAACACTCTGCCCCATACAACATAGCCGGTCTAACCACAGCTCTATAAAACTTACCTTTTAGTGTCAATGGCACTTTCTTGTCACACAAAACTCCAGATGCAAGCCTCCATTTCATCCAGCTCGCCCCTATACGGTGAGTGACATCCTCGTCGATCTCTCCGTCCCCCTGAATCATCGACCCAAGGTAGTTGAAGCTATCTCTCTTCGGGATGACCTGTGATCCAAGCCTCACGTCCCTGCCTACTTCCCTCGACTCAGCGCTAAACTTGCACTCCAGGTACTCTGTCTTAGACCTGCTCAATTTGAAACTCTTAGACTCAAGGGTCTGTCTCCAAACCTCCAATCTCTCGTTAACACTGACCCTCGTCTCATCAATTAGAACTATGTCATCAGCAAATAACATACACCATGGCACATCCCCTTGAATATGGTGTGTCAATGCATCCATCACCAAGGCAAATAAGAACGGGCTAAGCGCAGAGCCTTGGTGTAATCCCATAACAACCGGGAAATGCTCCGAGTCGCCTCCCACAGTCCTAACCTTAGTCTTAGCTCCATCATACATGTCCTTGATCGCTCTTATGTAGGCTACCGGCACGCCCTTTGCCTCGAGACATCTCCAGAGCACCTTCCTAGGAACCTTGTCGTACGCTTTCTCCAAGTCAATAAACACCATGTGCAGATCCTTCTTCTTATCCCTGTACTGTTCCACCAACCTCCTAATAAGGTGGATAGCTTCCGTAGTGGAGTGACCCGGCATGAACCCAAACTGATTGTCGGATATAGACGTTGTCTTCCTCACCCTCACCTCCACCACCCTTTCCCAAACTTTCATGGTATGACTATGTAACTTGATACCCCTATAATTGTTACAACACTAGATATCACCTTTGTTCTTGTATAACGGTACCACTGTACTCGACCTCCACTCATCCAGCATCCTCTTCGTCCTAAAAATTACATTGAACAACCCAGTCAGCCACTCCAATCCTGCTCTACCCACACACTTCCAAAACTCAACCGGAATTTCATCTGGCTCGGTCGCTCTACCCCTACTCATCTTACACAAACCCCTCACGACCTCCTCCACCTTAATGCGCCTGCAATACCTAAAATCTCGAAGACTCTAAGAATGCCCCAAGTCCCCTAGCGCTATATCCTGGTCCCCCTCCTCATTTAGAAGACCATAGAAGTACGTCTCCCCTATCAATACTCTACCATCCTCGTCTTTGATGCACCTTACTTGGTCTAGATCCCGGGCCTTCCTCTCCCTCGTCTTAGCCAGCCGAAACAACTTCCTGTCCCCGCCTTTCTCCCCCAATTCCTCGTATAGACAACTAAACGCTGCATTCTTAGCCTCCGTGACCACCAGCTTTGCCTCCTTCCTAGCCACTTTCTCTCCTCCTCGCTTGTGCTACCTGCCAACTTCGTGTACGCTACCTTCTTCGCCTCCACTTTACCTTGGACTACGTCATTCCACCACCAGTCGCCTTGGTGCCTGCCAGAAAAACCCTTTGCTATACCTAGCACCTCTCTCGCCGCCTCCCTCACACAGTTCGTCGTCGTTGACCACATAGTGCTCGCGTCTCCACTACTCCTCCAAGCTCCCATAGCGGATAACCTCCCCTCCAACTCATGGGCTTTATCCTTTGTTAAAGCTCCCCATCTAATACTCGGTCGTCCACGAGCATACCTCTTCTTCGTCTTTATCATAATGCCGATGTCCATCACTAAGAGCCTATGCTGAGTCGCGAGGGTCTCAAAGAATATCAAGCCTGCTAATCTTAACATATTGAGGTTAATCCCCCTCCCCCCACACACACACATACACACCAGGTTCCCCTGGAGGAACATACCACCGAAGTATATAAGTTGGAACAGGCAATCATTATCAGGTGGATCCTAAAATAAATGAACCACATTAGGTGGATCTTAAATATTGTAAATACAAAATCTGGATCCTTCTAACCAATGTACGAATTGAACTGCATAGTTATTTAAACATTTTTATTTGCACGTCGAGAGGAGAGACCTAAGACTGCTTACTATTTATTGAAGGCAGAAACTTCGAAGGAAAAGAGTCCTTACTTATCTTTGATCAGGCTACAGGCATGCAATATAAATTACTTTCCATATGCCTGTATACTTAAATGAGAAGTTAATTTTGTTTTGGAGCTTTCTTATTGACAGGCCTGATTGTTTGAAAAGTCAATCAGTACGAGTAACAATATCTTAAAAGGTTTGTGCATAATATCTGACTGTCTCAGTTAAAAAAGATAAACAAAATTAGTGTCACCTAAATTAATTTAAGGAAAGCGTGATTGACTACAACAAGCAAAATCCCTGCAATGTCATTTTTTCCATATACAAATTTATGACTTACATCCTTGCATTTAGGCTCCGCGCCAGCCAAAATCCTGCGCTCATACCATAAAAGTCTCCGATGTTCCTCGGCTTCCTCCGTTTTAGCATTTTTGTCAACAGCAGGGCACGGGAGCATTGTGTCGGCAACACTTGGTGGGATACAGATTCCAGCAATATAATACTGGCTGAATACAAGGGTCAATGAGATAAAACCAAGAATCATCAACTCTGCAACAATTAGAGCGAACGAGCCATTAATACAGAAAACAAGACTATTCCGCGGTAAAATGATAAGAAGTTGAGAGCACAAAGTTTACCAGCCTTAACCTTTTCCAGAGCCTCATATAGAGCTTTCTTATGCCTATCTGTGAGCCACTGGGAAAAGATTTCATTTTGTAAGTAAATCACTAGAGAAGTGAAGATCCAAATGGACCCAAACAATCACTATAAATTGGTAGAAGTCATGTCAATATAAATACAATAAATATCAAAATATACAATATGGAAACACAAATGCGTGTGCACTTCAAGATGCTCCTTGACAGAGCAAAGGCAAGCCCAAACATCTGAATAAAAGGATGAACAATGAACTCCAAGCAGATGTGCTCAACATAATATATCACAGGGCAATATAGTTTCTGCTACACAAAACGGAAGGTTCATTTCACAAGGCACAACACGAAACCACTTTTTCCTCTCGTCCTTATTCGTTTAATTGATCAAAACTAAAAAGGAAGCACATAAAAGGCGTTCAGTGGTTGAAAATAAATCCCACGGCCGATGACATAAATCACATAGCTATGATGTCCAAGAATCCAATTTGGGTACATTTCTTTTGGGGTAATAGTAACAGAAATAGCACAAAACAACATCTCTACCTTCTCAAGGTACGGGTGAGGTTGCGTACACTCTGCCATCCCCAGAACCCACTTTGTGGGATTCTACCGGGTTTGTTGTTGTAATAATAGAAATAGCACAAGATAGCAAAACCAAATGTGCACAATAATTCAAACACATGAAATTACCTCAAAGCTAAGAAAGGATTAGGACTAGCAAAAGAGGGAAAACAGGGAAGAACAAGGCAAGGGTTAGGACTAGCAAAACAAAGGTATACTCATAGAGTAACAACCCATTGTTTGGTAATCAGTATCTGAGCAGTCAAGAATATTTCCCAGGCTTTAAGGCAAGACATCCTCGGATAAAAAGGTAATGTCTTTATGCAAAAATTAAAAAGTCAAACAGCAAATATAGCTGCAAAATCCTCTTAACACGAAACCAAGAAACAAGGAAGAAAATTTCTACAAGCAAACACTTATTGTAATGCTGCTGGCTAGGAGAAATATCAACACATCTTATACATTAAAATCCAAGATTAACAACCAGAAAAAGAAAGCAAAAAAAACAATTAAAATCCCCAACAAAAATACAAATTGAAGAACAAAAGATTAAATATTTAGCATACATACAGTGCCAAGTTTGTGAATAATCTTTTCCAAAGCAATAGAAATGATAATAATGACTGCACAAACACCAGCAACAGCCCAAGTGGGTGTTTGATCAAGTTGTCTTGATGTACCTCCACCCCCACCTGCCATTCCTACAAAACTTCACTCTCTCAAAAAGCAAGATTTTTTAACTTCAGTTGCAAAGGAAAAAAAAATTTAATCTTAATGGGGTATCTGTCAATCTGGTCAAAAATAATTCTGGGTTTGAACTCTCTTGGGATATAGTAAATGCATGCATTGAACTGCACTACTCTAAAAGAAACTGATACTTATTCTATTGTAGGAGTTGTTCATAGAGATATGCAAAGGCCTTCCATAATTAATATGACATCTACGTACTTTACATTTAATATTTTTCCTTAATTATTCTTTAGACAATTTTGTAGGAATTGTTTTCACATAGTGGAACAGGGGTTGAGGGACAAGAGAGGCAGTCAACGCTTAAAGATTTAAGTTTGTATTTATTTTGTAACGCTAAATGTGAATTAGGGGGGAATTGGCAATGGGTTTTGGGTTTAAGGGGCTTTTTTTGAAAAAAAAAATTTAAGTTATATATACCAAACGGTCTAAATAGTTTATATTATCAGTGCAATTATAATTTTATTTTTTTTAATTACCACTTACCACAAGGAAGTGTAGTTTTGACTTAAAAAGTGATTAGTGAAACAGTAAATTTGATTAAGGGGTGAATTAGTAATAAAATGTAAGTAATGTCTGAAAAGAGGAAAATTGGATCTGAAAGCAATTAATACTCCGTGACTGGATGGAGAATTAGGAGGCGCAGATCGCGTCAATTTGTCTGCTTAAAATACTAGGACGGCCGAGTAGAATTTAAACGAAAAAGATAAAATCTTTAACCTTTTTTTAAATGTTTAATGGTAGTTTCATTATTGTCATTTAACTATACCAAAATCAGCAAATCATCTTTTGTAACAAAAAAAAAAAAAAAAACTACTCAAATTTACTTAAAAATATCACGAGAGTCAATAAATTATTTTTTATAGATTACAATAACAATAACAACTCAGTAAAATCTTACTAGTGGGGTCTGGAGAGGGTAGTGTGTACGCAGACCTTACCTCTACCCCGAAGGAGTAGAAATGTTGTTTCCTAAAGACCTTTGGCTCAAGAAAATAAAAGGACAAAGAAGACAACATTAGTATCACCACAGAAATCATAGGAAAAATATGAACAACATGAAATTCAAATGAAAGATGCAAAGCAAAAGCGATAGCTAGTAAATAGGTCATACACTGAAAAGCGAAATAGTAAGACACAACTTTGTCACTAGCTATATTAGACAAAAATCCTACCAGACTAGTCTCACAAAGGTATAAAGTAAGGCAAGACTCAACTACCTCCTAACCTACAACCCTAATACTCGACCTCCACTTCTTCCTATCAAGTGTCATGTCCTCGGAAATATGAAGTCTCGCCATATCATGTCTGATCACCTCCTCCCAATACTTCTTAGGCCGCCCTCTACCTCTTCTCATGCCCTCCACAACCAGCCACTCACACCTCCTTACCGAAGCATCTGGGCTTCTCCTCTAAATAAATTATAAGACTAATAGCAATTTTATAAGAGTAATAGCAATTTTATATATAACAATAAATAACAAATATTAAAAGCTCTCTAACATATTGGAAATTTACTAGCCCTGCTAAATCAATCATGATAGATAAATTTAGTAAAACACTTTGGATCAAAAGATTCATTATTCCTAATTAAGGGCGATGAAGTGCATACTACTATGTATAAAATATAAATTCGTTGTGTTGTAAACGTGTGGGAATTAATGGATGCACAGTGCACAGCTGCAACGGAAGATGGAAATTTTGTTCAGTGACCTGCTCTGCTCTGCATTCAATTTTTAAGAATTGAGTACTGTTTATTTTTTGCCAAAATTAATTGATAATACGTTAAAAATTGTGCTACTTCCTTCACTTTTCCAGTTATGGACCTACATTTTTTGTCAATATGTCAATTATTTCTAAAGAGTGAAAAAAATAATATTATTTCTAAAGAAAAAGTTTCTAGCATAATCTCGTCGCCCTTTTTCTTTCTTTTAATCTTTCTCTTTCATTTTATTCATATTATTATTAAGCTTTTAACACGGAAAAAAAAAGAGGGAATATTTTTATGTTCACAACTTTTCTTCTTAAGTTAGGGTGGATGAGCTGGATTTTGTTTTTTTCTTCTAGCTAATGGTATAATTTGGGAATGCCAAGAGGGAACAGCAAAAGATGATCAGCTTTACGTAGCTTTCTTAATCATAATTCATAATTGTGGCTCCCCTTTTAGATTAGATAAAGAACCAACTCATTAAGACACTCTTCTCAACAACTACTTTTAAATTTTAATTATCTCTCTGAATTAAATAATAGTCGGGATATGTTCCTTAATAAATATGAGATATGATTTTACATCTATCTTTTTATTATGTATTGGAGTTCATTTTCCTTCCCCTCTCTTCCAACCCCCCGGTTTTTATATTATTAGTGATGTACCACTAATAAAATGAAGAGTTTTGCAATTAAAGTATTTACGATATAATCAAGCCTAAGAGAGTGTCTTTCAATATATAATCCACCGTCTCAACAATAGACTAAAAACGTGGAAAATCAACCTCCTTAACATAGCAGGAAGGACCACTCTCATTAAATCAACCCTAGCCGCAATCTCCAATCATAACATGTCGACTACCGGGATCTCAACCGGGCCTGTCCAAAGGACGACTTCCCTTTTGCCGAATACACACATCCTGATTGACAATTGCGCCAAACATGAGCTGCAGTCATTTGTAGATTGCTTCGCTGGTTATCATCAAATCTGGATGGATGAAGAAGATGCTGAGAAAATGGCTTTCATTACGCCGTGGGGAATGTACTATTACAAGATGATGCCATTCGACATGAAGAATGCAGGGTCCACCTACACGAGTGCCATGACTACCATTTTTCATGATATGATACACAAGGAGATCGAGGTATATGTAGATGATGTCATCATCAAGTCCAAGAAGGCCACTGATCACATGGAAGATTTGAGGAAGTTCTTCAATAGATTGCGGAGGTACAACCTGAAACTAAATCCTGCAAAATACGCATTTGGGGTTCCTGCTGGAAAATTGCTTGGGTTTATTGTGAGTCGCCGAAGAATAGAACTGGATCCATCAAAAGTCAAAGCCATTCAGGAACTATCATCGCCAAAGAATAAGAAAGACGTGATGAGTTTCCCGGGGAGACTCAACTACATCAGCCGGTTCATAGCACAATCTACAGTTATCTGCGAGCCAATCTTTAAGATGTTGAAGAAGGACGCTGCTATCAAATGGACTGATGATTGCCAAAAAGCCTTCGACAAAATCAAGGAGTACCTGTCAACACCACCAGTCTTGGTCCCACCTGAGCCAGGTAGACCCTTATTACTCTACCTTGCAGTCTTGGATGGAGCTTTCGGTTGCGTTCTGGGGCAGCATGATGAAACGGGGAGGAAGGAACATGCCATCTATTATCTCAGTAAGAAGTTCACCCCGTATAAGGCCCGGTATTCTCTGTTAGAGCGCACCTGTTGTGCTTTGACTTGGGTAGCTCAGAAGCTGAGGCACTATTTCTGTGCCTATACCACATATCTCATATCAAGGATGGATCATTTAAAGTACATCTTTCAGAAGCCCATGCCCACTGGCAAGCTAGCCAAGTGGGAAATCCTGTTGAGTGAGTTTGACATTGTCTACGTGACTCATAAAGCAATCAAGGGACAGGCACTAGCGGATCACCTTGCTAAAAATCCCGTGGATGGAGAATACGAACCCCCGAAAACATATTTTCCTGATGAAGAGGTATCATTCATAGGAGATGACATTGCAGAATCCTATGACGGTTGGAGAATGTTCTTCGATGGGGCGGCAAATTTCAAAGGAGTTGGCATAGGAGCAGTCCTAGTATCAGAAATCGATCAACATTATCCGGTGTCCGCCAGACTCAGGTTCCCCTGTACCAACAATATGGCTAAGTATGAAGCTTGCATCTTAGGGCTCAAAATGGCCATTGACATGAATGTTCAAGAGCTACTAGTAATTGGAGATTCAGACTTACTTATACATCATGTCCGAGAAGAATGGGTAACCAAGAACTCCAAAATACTCCCGTATCTGTATCATGTACAGGAATTGAGAAAGAGGTTCACAAAGGCAGAATTCCACATGTTCCCAGAGTCCAGAATGTGTTCGACGATGCATTGGCTTCCCTGTCATCTATGATACTACATCCGGACAAGAATTTCATTGATCTCATTCCAGTAAAAATCCACGATCAGCCAGCTTATTGTGCCCATGTTGAAGAGAAGCAGATGGAAAGCCTTGGTTTCATGACATCAAGGAATATTTGGCAAAAGGAGAGTACCCAGAGCTCGCAAACCCTACTCAGAAATGCACACTTCAGAGGTTGTCCAATAATTTCTTTCACAGCGGAGGAATCCTGTATAAGAGGACCCCTGATTTGGGATTATTAAGGTGTGTCGACGCAAAGGAAGCATCCAGACTACTAGAGGAAGTTCACGCTGGGACCTGCGGTCCACATATGAACGGTTTTGTCTTAGCCAAGAAGATACTCTGGGCTGGTTACTTTTGGATGACTATGGAATCGAACTGCATCCAGTATGTCCGAAAATGCCACCGCTGTCAGGTACATACAAACATGATAAAGGTGCCTCCAAATGAGCTTAATTCAACAAGCTTACTGTGCCCGCTCGTCGCTTGGGGAATGGATGTCATTGGACCAATTGAGCCTGCTGCATCCAACAGACACAAGTTTATCTTAGTAGCAATCGACTATTTCACCAAATGGGTCGAAGCAGCATCTTACAGAGCAGTGACTAAGAAAGTCGTGGCAGACTTTGTCCGCGACCGCATTGTTTGTCGATTCGGGATTCCAGAGTCAATCATTACTGATAATGGCTCCAACCTCAACACTAACCTGATGAAAGCCATGTGTGAAACCTTCAGGATCAAACATAAGAATTCCACAACCTACAGACCTCAGATGAATAGAGCCGTAGAAGCCGCCAATAAGAATATCAAGAAAATATTGAGGAAAATGATAGAGAAGCATAAACAATGGCACGAAAAGTTATCATTTGCTTTATTGGGATATCGCACCACAGTCCACACATCAACCGAGGCGACCCCCTATATGCTGGTTTATGGTACAGAAGCAGTCATTCTCGCTGAGGTAGAAATTCCTTCCCTAAGGATCATACAAGAAGATAAGCTTGATGACGCAGAATGGGTAAAAAGTCGTTATGAGCAACTAGCCCTTATAGACGGAAAGAGAATGAATGCAGTCTGCCATGGTCAACTCTATCATACTAGAATGTCCAAAGCCTTCA